ACTCACTTCTACGCAGAAGACTCCCTATACCAGGTATACTGAGGCCCGCTTCGATGCCCGATGAAGGTTTTAATAATAGACAGTCCGTTGTTTGCACAAAACCGCAACAACTTCATGCAGTTATTGTTGAGGCCACTAGGACCGTTCTTTCCAATCACGCCTTTTCGCTTTTCAGTGTCTGCTCCGGTATGCGCATTAAAATAGCCCATCAAAATGATGCATTCCGTAACCGGCACTGCGTACAGAGCATCTCATATTTCTGTAAGGAAGGACTGCTACTCTCCCTCCATATAGAATGCATAGATCTGTAACAAGGTGAAAGATTTAGCTTGCTATAGCTTCAACCAGATGATTGACACTCTTCCGCTGACAGACTTCCTTTCAATGATTCTGTTATCGAGGTTAGGTTCTACAAGAACATCAACGTCAATGTGCGCATGTGTTGTGATGTCGACTCCTGAGTAAAATAGCCTCAATCCCCATAGTTTCAGAATTCCCGTGCCCTGGCGTTTCGTTGAAGAGAGTTCATTGACAGTCGGTAGCCCCGCGGCATCATTAACTCGCTCTTTTCAACTGACTGAGGAGATGTTGCTGTTTCTGACTGTCAGCTCTCACTATCAGTATCATTCGCGTGTAACCTTACCTTATGTGCTATAATCGCACTGCGCATCGTCTGTTCAGAACGGAAAAGGCTCCGTTCCTAATTGATATCTTCGTCGTATTCTTTACGATCTCAGACAGCCGTCGCCGTGCTATGTTACCAGGTCTGGATGGTGTAAAGCAGGTTTTGATCACGGCATCCGAGTTCTGACATTTTCGCACTATTTCTGTGTCCAGAAACCCGGGCGATGTCTCAGCTTGTATAATATTTTCGATAACGGCAATATGATGAGGGACAGGGGGCAAAGGTTAACGGGAGACTTAGACAAGTCTCCGATCATACTCTTTTCTTATCCGGAACTGGGACTGGCAACGGTGGTTTCTATACGGAAACTAAACTGGTAGATTCTGTGAAGGAAGAGGGTATTGTTCTCAGCGGCGGCATAGAAAGCTGCTGCTTTTAATAGTCGCCGAAAAATATTGGAGTAATCTGCGGACCATATGCAAGTCAGTGATGCATATATATGTCATATGGCATTTTTCTGTTAGTGCTAAAATGGCCATCGTTCAGTACAACTCAGCTGGTATCTGATCACGCACTTATTCCACCCAAAAAATGGAGGGCATAGCTTCTAAGCACTGCAGGTGTTCAAACACGATGATGGAATCATGGCAAGCCAGAGAAGTCCCACAGTCATGCAGGAGCAAGGAGATGTGTGATTAAGGCAGTAAATCCAATTGAGTGATACAACCAAATGTAAAACGGTGCAACACAGCCGTAAGGACTGACCTCATCCGGAAGTCTCCGATCGATCACTGTAAATTGTGGGACAAAACTTGCCGTGAGTGGGGGTGCTGGCAGAGAAACGACTATCACAAACCCTCAAAACAATGCGACCAAAACCAACAAACGAACATTTCGTACCAAGGAGCAGGCCAAAGTCCAAGTTTCTGCCGGCCAGGATTTTGCCGTTAGGCGTTTCAGCGACGATCGACGTGCACAACGCAAATATTTCATAAAATACGTTGAACATAACGATTTGACCAACGGGGATTTTCAGGACAGTCGCGATGC